ACAGTAAAATATGATGGTAATCTCTATTGCTTAGATAAAGCACAGACATCACAAGGTTTGAAATGATCTTTATTACACTGTGTTTCTAAAACAGAATGCTGTAAAACATTTTCAGACACATGACCAAGCCTTTTATGCCACAAAACAACAATATCAGGCTGATGATTACAAGTTTTGGAAGATAAGGAAGCAGAAGAATTGATCGTAGATGTATTACAGTGTTCAGAAGTATATTTTTGAATGGTTGTTTGAAGAAAAGAGTCCTTATCCAGAATGTAAAGGCTCTTGACTGTTCTACCATCTGCCAGGGTCTTCTCAGTCATACGGTCCTGCAACAAACAATGATTATCTAGAAATGTGAACTTAAGGTTGGAAGTTTTGGCAAGTTTCCTGACAGATAGTAAGTTAAACTTAAAAGTGGGTACATGTAAAACCTCTAAGAAAGTAAGATCTTTACTGAGAATAATATCGCCCGAATGTTCAACTCTATTAATGGTTCCATCAGGTAGGTAAACAGGTATGGTGGTGTTGATGATTTTGGGTTTATGTATAAGTTTTAGATCATTGCACATATGATTTGACGCTCCTGTGTCAACTATCCAAGAGTCTATTTCTATAAGGTCACATGTATATAAAGCATGAATATCACCAGATTTAAGAATTGAACCTGCGAAATCTTCTAAGTGTGCAAAATTCACCCCGTTGTTGCCATTGCCTTTGAAAAATTTTATCAGTTCCTGGTGAATCACTTCACTCAGATCACCCAGATTCATACCCTGTGTCTGCCCCTTTAACTTATCATCTGTGTCTCCATTCATCAGATCCAGGGGAGTTTCAGCCAAATTTGCCATAGGCTTTCCTTTTTTCTTAAGGTCTTTATACAAGTCTGGATATCCAATAAGCTTGAAACAAGATTCCTTATTATGTCCGTTAATGTTGCTGTGTGTGCAATACTGCTGCTCTTTGTCTCTCCTGTTTTCATACCTCCTTCCTTGTCCCCTTGTTCCATTGTCTCTCTTATTGACTTCAGACCCATCACCATATACAACCTGCACTTCTCTTTGCTTTTCCACTCTCTGAACCATTGAATAGGCCTTGTTCACCACTGGCAATGGTTCAGTTACCAAGATCCGACTCCTTACATGTTCACACTCTTCGTTCAGTCCCATTAGAAACTGCATCAATATGTTAAATGAAGTCATTTCAGTAGCTGCCTTTGCAGATCCACAGGTGCACTGCGGTAAAGGCATGAGGTAAGTCAGTTCATCCCAAAGTTTTTTAAGCTTTGTGTAATACTATGTTACAGTCAAGCTTCCCTGTATCATAGTAGATATCTCCCTTTGAATCTGATACAATTGAGGTCCATTGCATCCTCCAAACCTCTCTTGCGATGGTCGTATACAGA